AGCATGTCTTAGGCTGGAATATTCACTGTGGTGGACACCGGGGAGTTCAGTGTAGGGCAGATGGGAGCACTTTTCCCTTAAACCTCATGGTAAGATATTTAAACCTTCATTGTAATTGACTATATCATTTAGCCAAACATACCAATGCCTGTAATGAGTTGGAAAAGATCACAGAAACAGCCTCTGTGTATTCTTCAATTCAATCAACATTTAGCTATAGCCAAGGCATTGTGAGGACTATTACTGATGATTATGGGGACTATTACTGCCTTTGAGCTGTTTAATCTTGCCAAGTATATCACAGACATTCTGTGAAGAAAGCTCACTGAAAGCGAAGGCTTCTATGATAGAATAATATCAAACGTGGGCATGATGTTGTAGACCCAAAAGAAAGATGGTCAGGTTTGAGACCTTTCCCAGGACTTAAGGTGCAAAGGTGCTTCCCCAGGATTCTGCTTTTGTGGTTAATTCTTGATTTTCTATGCTACTGAAGGAAGATGGTGACACAGATAAGCCACAGAAGGGAAGTAAAGAAAAATCAATTTGTATTTGGCTTGGAATAAATCACACACTTTGGAAAGAATGCCCCATTTCTACATATTGCAGACTATTAAAATGATTTTCTGTTCCCTGAATTCAAGCTATCAGACAGGCAGGATGTAATCAAGAGGAATATTCTGGGTAGTTGAGCAAAAGGCAATTTAGGAATTTTTATTTTTATTCCTTGGGCTAATTCATCCAGCAGATAATCTGCCGATGGAAATTTGAGTGGTACTTGGCTTGAACAAATAGATTTCCCACATCCAAATCGAAATTCATTCTTAGTCAAGAATGTACACAGTGTAGCAACATGGAGAAAGATTTCCAATATGGTTTTAAAATTCAACAATTTTTAGCTACTGATTTTATTAAAAATTACTTGTAACAATTATAACTCTAGCCTGCATGGCCTCCCTTTATTTGAGGGTGATTGGAGGAAGGGTTGGGGAGGAATATTTTCTCTGGTGATAAAATTACTTTTTGCTTCAACTTAATCAAAATGCCACTTTGCACCCATGTAGAGCAGATAACATTTATGAAAAATTCATTCAACTGATGAGCCTTGGCAATACTGCAGAAGTTTAAAATCTTAATGGAAAGAATATGCTATGAACTAAAATAGCTTTTGCCATTCATAGTGTTTAGGACCAGAGGGAGAAATAATGGCTTTTTAACTGAGAAACGTAAACATCATTGGTATTTGAATTGCCAAATCTCATGTAACTTTCCTGTAGGAAGATAGATTGGATGCCCTCATTGAAAAAAATTAGAAACCAATCCTCAAAGACAGATTTTCAACAATTTGTGAATATGCCCATGCCAGCTTCCATATCCGCAAACATTTAAGAGAGGAGACATAATAGGCTGCGGGAATATTTGCCCTGTTAGTCATTCGTTTTTGGCTAAATGGAACTAAAACCTTGTGAAAACCAAAGAAAGATAAGACCCTGCCCCTGATCCCCAGCACCACCAACCCAGAGTTTCCACATGATTCTTGGGTTCTTGATGCCTCTATGCCTAGGAACCACAATATCTATGCCTGTGCCATCAAGCAAAGCTCGTCTCCACTTTCTCTCCCCAGCAGGGCCATTTATGACCTCTGCCATTGTCATTTGAATCAAAGAACACTATCTGTATGGAAGCAACATAGTGAGATTTGTGACCTTGCCCATCTGTGAGCGTATTTCCCAGTGCCTTTCCCCAAGGAGATTTTACTATCAGTTCAATAGAACAACAGTAATCAAAATCTCAGCTACCTAAACAGTGATGGCCTGGAAGTCGAAAAGTGCCATCAAGGAGTTCAGTGTTGTGCAACCTTGAAGGTCCAGCTCATAGGCAATTTGTGATGCTAATTACGATTTCTCTATGTGATCCCAGCTTCTACTTTTAGCTACATCTGCCCCTAGTCCAGCTAGATTTCTTCTTTCACAGCCTCAGTGCTGTGTCACTCTCCTCTAATCCTAAAAACAATCTTGAAACGCAGGTTTTATTTTATCTTTTATCTTTTGCAAATTCATAAACTAAGGCTTAGAGAAATGAAGTCTTGTCACAGAGCTGCAAACTGAAAGAGCTAGGATTGCAACCCAGGTCTCTAACTAGATTATAAAAGGTGCATAAAGGTTAATGTCATGCTCTTGGATATGTATATCTTTTGTACGTAAGGCTAGAACCAGGTTTTCTAGAAATAAAGAAATTGTACACTATTCCTGTAACTCCAAACAACAGCGTTGCAGGGAATGTTTCAGCATCTGTGGTTATTTTCAAGCTTTCTTAAGATATATCCACTCACTCTGCTGATAAGATCAGCCCTTGATGTGCATACGGATATACATAAGCACAAGGGACTGTTAACCAGCAAAACCCACCTGATCGAACCATTAAGAATCTAAAGAAGTGTCAGTAAGGAAAGGGGCCAAAGGAAGCCCAGACATGGGTTGGGGGCGGGGATACTATCAATGAGAACTAATTGGGTGATGCCTTTTCTCTCTGAGAAAAATGGTTTTAATTGTGAGATTATGCTGCCAATGGGTGGGCTGGAGGGAAGGCTTGTTGCCTTTGGACGCCCTTTGGAATTAAGCCAAAGCGTTTGAACACAAAGGGAAAAACAATCGAGTGTGGATGATGTCACAAAGCATCCTGAGGAAAGCAGCAAGGATAAAGCTTCCTACTGCTTGGATCCAAAGTACACAGACTTATTTTGGCATTAATTCCTTCTGCAGCCAGAAGCTTGACTCTTCTGAGGGGATTAGTCTTAATCAAAAAGACTCAGTGTTGAAGAGGAGGGTGTGTGGGTGCGTGCGTGTGTGCAAGTCTGATTCCTGCTCTGTGAGCTGGAGAATCAACATTCCCATCTCTCCTCCACACATGCTCTCTGCTGTGTGTGAATTCATTGTAACTAGGCAAAGCCCATTTTCACTGGGGTAGACAGAAAATTGGCTTGCTCTCCCCATGGACACTCTCAAACTGTGACCAGAAATCTGCCTTCTCTTATGATAATGGAGATTTCGGTCGCTCTTCTGGCTGGGAGAGACTCCCCTTCAAGGGCTAGCCAATTCTTAGAGATAGCAAAGGAGCCAGCTTGCAGCATGCTTTTGATATATAAACGAACTAACCCAGAGCCATACCTCCTCTATCTGGCCCCTACAACCAAGGAGGCAGTATTCTTCTGCCTTACGCATCCCAGAGCCAGGTACCAAGCAATTAGGGACCACCCATATAGCCCAAAGCCCACCAAAATTAGTCAAACTAGGCCATCCTAAGCTGTACATCTTGCTTTTCCCATGCAAACTCCAATAGATGACATGGCCTAGGACTTGCCCTTCCTCCTATTTTCCGCCTCTTTTCCACCGTGGTGTCTTTCCCATGTGGTCCTGTATGGCGTGCTGTGCCTTCTGTCTCGAGGATCTGTGAGTATAATAAACTTTGTTTTTTCCTGAGCCTTGACTCTGGCAAGGCCACACTTGACTGACCATCTCATAAAAGAATACAAAAAAACATAAGTTTCGGATGGGAAAAAAATATATTTCCATCTTCATTTTAAAAGAAACTGCACAAGGGTAAAGAATGTATTATTGTTACAGATTAGAATTTTCTAGGTGGGAAGTAGTGCATTCCACTCTGGAGAGGTATCTTACAACGTTGTAGACAGAGGACAGCCAGTATTACGAGACTTGGGAGATTGTTGCTAAGGCTGACCTAGCAGCTAGTTGTGGAATAGAGACTCACAACTTCTTGCTGTCTAACATTTGGGCCTGGGGAGCTGAGAGGCTCACCCCAATGGCTGGGAACACTGATTTGGCAAGAATATAGTAATGCCTTTCTAAGTGTCAAATCTGATATATGTGGATTAATAGGCAGTATAATGGCCAGATTCCTAAGGTCAAAGACCAAGAATTTGGGATTACTTACTGGAGTGGGGCATTTGCCGTGCTCAGAGGCAGGTTCAGCTACGTTGTGGAAGGGCAGAAGTTCAGCTGAGCTGCTAGAAGACAGTATAGGGAGAAAAGAGTGACAGGGATTTAGTTAATCAGCTTACTGGTCACCTCATAAGAAGACAAGGGACAAGAAAGAAGGGAAACATAGAGCTGGGGAATTTAAGAGAAGTGAGAGCAGGCAGCATACAGATATTCAAGTAGCAAACATTCCACATCAAAGGGGTATGGCCAGAAGTAATTGGGCCCGAGATATGGTGCTGGGGTTCAGGATCTGGGCTCCAGACTAAGATAAGCATCAGATATAATCTTCAGTCTGAAAAGAAACACTTATTAAGTGCCAGGCATTTTACATCCACGAATTTACTGAGAACCATGTACCAAGATCATCCTTGTTTTAAGAATGAAAAATTGAAACTTAACTGGTTTGGCAGATTTGCCCAGGGTCTCACAGGTGGTAAATGTTGGGAAAAAAGGACTACAAGAAATGCATCTCACTCCATAACTAAAGTTTTAATGAGTAAGAGAGCTAGCTATTGGAAGCAGAATGAGGGTGAAGGTAGGTCTTTGGACTTGATCTCAGGGAAAAAGAGGAAATCCAGTCACTAGGACTGCGGCCCAAGTTCAGAGAAGAACTAACTGCAAGAGATGCTGGCTGAGTCTCCTGACATGTGTTTTGGAGCCACCTGGGGTCTCCACAGATTGACCCATCTCAAAGTTGAGAGCAGAGGGGCCTGCACGTGGGGCCAAAATTCCTTAACTCTGGGGATTGGAGAAATTCACAGCAGGGAAATCTAGACAGCTGATTACACTAACCAGTCTCAAACACAGAATACTAGCAAAGATGAGCAGTGATAAAGGGAGGAGTGACCATGAGCTTAAAAATATATCTTTCCCAGAGAGCAAGTCAACAAACATGTTTTTTCATCCACACAGAATTTCATGTGAAAGTAATAAAAGTTTTTTTAATTGGTGATATTTCATATCTAAAGAGTAATGTTCAATTCTGGGTATCTTGCTTTTTAATAGAAATCACTATAATAGTGAAGGACTGAAGAAGGAGACAGCACTGGAAGAAGAAATGAAGGAGAAGAAAATATGCACTCATGCATTCAAAATCTTCATTAAGCACCAACTGTGTTCCCCGTACTGTGCTCTAGATGTGCTGAGGTCATTGCAACATAACCCTGCTCCAAGTACTTCACATCCTTGAATGCAGAGAAGGGACATCTTTATTCATGCAGTAGAGAACGGGGCTCTGCTTTGTGAGCTACGGCAGGACTAAGATCTATGTATGGAATTTATAGGGAAGTAGACTTCACATCTGTATCAAGAAGAAGTTTTTCACTGTGCATGTCTCCAACCATCCAGTGCAGATTGGAATAATCTACTGAGAATTTGGATGATCAACTTGAAGAACATGTAGAAGAGTTTCCTGAATTCGTTAGGAGGTTGAATTAAATAACTCTGAAGTTCTCTTTTTAAACAAAGATTTAAAGGTTTTATGTTATGCTATTCTTAGCTAGTAAATAGCATTTTCTCCAGTTTTATAAGATGAACAGTGGTGAAAGACTGTCCAAGAGGATTAAAAGTAAACAATGTCAGAAAGATCTCATCTTCTCATTAAAGTAAAAACACTTGAATCTTCTAATTTCTTCAAATAATTATGAGCCATCTTGTCATGCCAGTAGGAAAGATCATCCTGACTCATCTTTTGGTACAATTTGTGCACTTGTTCGTGCATTGACTTTTTATCTGATCTGATCTGTTTTTATTTTTTATTTTTGTGTGTGTGCTAAAGTTAAAAAAAACTCAGGCTTGATCATGGATTTTCTTAGCAAAAAATTAGGGAAAACCCAGGATAATGACTGACAGGGAAATTTCCAAGGGCAGGAGATGCTTCTGGATCAGTTATTTTTGTGTTCCAGGTGCCCCTAAATCCCACTGTGAGGGTGGGCATTCCATCTCTTGAAAGTTAACCAAATTCAAGTTTTGATGGTGTGGGTCCCAGGAGGGCCTTATCAGCTTCTTTCCATAGCCTATCATCCCAGATATTTAGGTAATGCAAACAAAATAGTGCCTTTACCTTAAAGACAGGATGTTTGGAGTCAGACTAATTTCTGTTTGAATCTCATCTCTACCACTTACCCATGTGAATTCAGACCAGTTATTTGACCTCTTTCATCCTCATCCCTTTAAAAAGGGTGATTATGAGAATTAAATCAGATAGCACTGTAAAATAGTAGGTGTCCCATAAATGCCAGTAGTTCGCACCTGAAGCTTATCACTTGAACAAAACTGGAACTTTGCTTGGCTGATTTGAAGCAGCCACTATGACAATGAGAGATGCAGATACTTTGATTTTAAAAGATCGAAATGTGAAATGACTGATTATCTTTATTAAACTATATAGACACAAGGGAGTCCCTGGCCCTAACTCTCTTCTGGAGCCTCAGTACCCCTCATGCCAGCCCACCCCAACATATCTTCCCTGACCTCAGCTGCCTGCATTGCCGGTGTGCAGAGATAGGGCTCCTCAGAGGGGCGAGGCCCAGGGATGGAATGCGGATGTCTGAGTGAAAGTTGAATATCATTGGTCAGAAAACTATGTCAGAAGCAGGTCAGAGCTGGTATAAATTGCCAGAACTACTTTTGGTATAGCAACAGTATTCCACCTTCCTTGTTACAAAATTGCAATTGGCTTCTGTTTTCTCAAAGCTGAGAACAAGACTGTGTTCCCTGGAACTGAGCCATTTGAGATATTACTCTGACCTTAGCTATTAACCCACTATCACTCTCTATATCAGAGTTTCCTTCGTCTCTAAAACAGAGCTAATAATAATTGTCTCCATTTAGTTTGTGCTCACTATGTGCCAGGTACCATATCGAATGAGATTAAATAATATCTAAGAGATAGATAATTATTAAAGGCTTTTGAAAAGGAGGCAGAGAGAAGCTAAGTAACTCAGGAAGGTCACACAGCTAATAAGTCGCCAATTTGAGCTCTACCTTCAAGATTATGGGCTTTCAGAACCTCTGGTATATTGCCCCCCGCTCTCTCTGAATTCTCAGAATTATTTCAAGGCTCATAGGAAATGAAAGAAGAAAAAGAAGGGCTTTTAAAAAGAAAAGCTTACAATTTCCATAAATAAGACATATTTATGGTTAAACCCATGGTCGTGCATCTATACAGTTTTGGACAACCTGCATTATCTCAACCTCTACTCCTTCCACGAGTGAAATGGAAACCTGAAGGTATGGAATGGAACAGATGCTATTTACTCCGTAGCAACAGTTCAGATTGCAAATCGAAAGACAACTATAAATAAAAAATAAACATTAAAAGTTAGAAAGCCCAGTGCTTTTATACACAATCAGATTTCAGTGCTTGAGGAGTTTATTATTTATTGAAGTTACCTTTGGGCAGTTTTTTTTTTTCCTAAAGCCTCTTTACAGTATTTCTGTCTATATTTTTAGTTGTAAAGATGTAATTAATTACAAATCAATGACAGCATATTTCTTCACACAGTTTCAAATTCTTAATGCCGCTTTGTTGTCACTTTGGAACAATGGAAGAGTGACAAAGACATACAAAAAGACGGTTTTATGAATGACTATTTCCACAGGAAATTAAAGACTCATCCTTTTTCCACAGTGTCCCACGTCAATAAGTAATGTTCAGCTGGTTAAGTCATCAAGCTTTTAGTCTCTTTCTCCCTGAATGTTACTTCCCTTAACTGATCTATAAATGGCACTCACATTCTTAATCTGTTCAGTTCAGCACTCCCCAGAGATTGTATGACAAAAAAGAAAGACTATTCCCAGCCAGACCATAGAGCAATAAAGCATGACAACTGAGCCAAAGGAAGCATCATAAAGGTGCCTATTAGAAGGCGTACACACAAAAATGAATGAGCTTAAGAGAGCCGGCGAGCAATTAGTTCAGGCTTGGATTGCTTCGTAACCCACTAAATGGTCTTACCTTAGTTACAGATAATGAAGTTCTGATCAAAACCCCATGTCCTTTTCATCTTCTAAGAGCACTGTAGCTAGACATCTCAGGGTTCTTTTCTTTCTGCTCCTTCGTGCTTTCTCTAAAGCTGTCGGCACCTACCGCCATGGAGATGAGAAACTCCACAGGAGAATCTTGCTCTTCTTTGCTTTTCCGGACACATTCACCACACACAAAGGCCACTGAGTTCTCAGCTTCACTCCAGTGAATCAACACTTTCTTTAACTGGTTCCCATGCCTACACGTAGGTAGTCTTGCCAATGGTGGCTTACAGAAAACAAGAATGAAGACGAAATCTCCTTCCTCCCTGCCCATCTACATCTTTGTTTTTTGATCAAACCTTTGTGAGCTTATTCAAGAACAAGAATCTCCCCAAATCATAAAGTGGCCAAAAACTGCCCCTAAACTTCCTCCTGTCCCAGAAGACTAGATTTTCTCCTGCTGACACCTCCAGGCTGCATAGCTTCCTTCAAGTGTGTTCTTCTTAAGTGTAGGTGCTCTGATTGTCACAGTAAAGATTTTTCTGTGCAAACACACACCCTGTCTATGTAACCTTACACCTAAGGCAAACAGCCTCTTGACCAGTATCATTTCATTTGGATTCCAAGGAAATGTGTGCCCCTGGAAGATCATTGACAACCTCAGTAGTGGTCCCAAGGACAAAGTTTAGATGTTTTTCTGAGAAGTTGGTTTTGTTTTGTGGCTTGCTTGTTGCTTCTTCTAAGTTTGGGATAAAGAAGGGAATATGTTTCTTACTCAATGTCCATTTTTCATCTATGAGGAAGTCTTATAATTTGGAATAAGCTAGTCATGAAAACGTTTATAAGACATCACGTAAATGCTAGTGCCATTTACTGAAATGATAGAACTGGGAGAGAAGCAAAGACAAGGATTCCAGTGACTAAGCTCTGGGGCAACTCAGTTGGAAGTTGGGAAGATGAGGAGCATCCAATGCAGGAGACTGAGAACGAGAATTGCCTGAAGTAGTAAGAAAACCATGAGATGTGGTATGAAGTGAAGAAAGTGTGACAAGAAAAAAGGAGTGATCATCTGTGTCAGAGATTAATGATAGGTCAGGATAAGGACTAAGAACTGATTATTGAATGCGACAATGTGATGAAATTCGATGAAAGATATCTCAGTAGAGTTTTGGAGAAAAATGTCTGATTAGATGAGAAACAAGTGGGAACAGGAAGTAGAGACAATATGCATCCCATTTGTAGGGAGTTCTGCTATCAAATGGAGTAGAAAAATGCAGTGATGGATGGGAAGAAACATGGGGGTCAAGAAAGGTTTATTTTTCAGGGAGAGAGTTTTTTGTTTTGTTTTAATATGGGTGATGTTACAATTTGTCACATAGGATATTGTCAACTTATTAATTTATTAATTAAGGAAATGTTCTACAATTACTCATGTGTCATTTCTATTAAAAACAAGTACTTTTTGGGGCCTGGCTGGTGGTGTAGTGGTTGAGTTCGTGCACTCCACTTTGGCAGCAGCCCAGGGTTTGCTGGTTCGGATCGTGGGTGCTGACCTACACATCGCTTATCGAGCCATGCTGTGGCAGGCATCCCACATACAAAGTAGAGGAGGATGGGCACAGATGTTAGCTCAGGGCCAATCTTCTTCAGCAAAAAAGAGGATTGGTGGTAGATGTTAGCTCAGGGCTAATCTTCCTCAAAAAAAATATATTTTATTTACTATCTCAGTGTTGTTAAATAGCAGTCAGAATGGGAGAATATGAGGAGAGATGCACATAGGTTGGTAGATGAGAGCCAAGGTTTCTGCGTGGCAAAAAGTCAAACAAAAAATGGAAAGCATTGGAGGAACTTACAAGGCTGAAGGAATGGGCAGAGGAACGTTAGAGAAGATTAAAGGTGTGCAAATGAAAGGTATTGGTCTTGGAGAAAAACTATACAAACTATTCTTATGAAAAGGCATAAGAAAATCAAACTGACTAATTCAGCAAGTAATTTGAAATAGGGGAAAAGAAGTCTGTCTTTTATGTGGTACACTGTAGATAGTAGGTAACAGACAAAATTGTTTATTTTAACTTGATTTTCCATACCCAATGAAAACTTTTAAGTTGTTTCCCACGGGCTCAGCCCCTGCTGAAACCACGCCTTCAGATAGACCCAAACAAACTTCACAGATGCCGTTTTTTGCTGGCCTGAGGGCTTCCTGTTATTCTAACTGCCTGGCCATCATAGGATACAGAGGAAGTGTCTGAAGTCCTCACTACTAAACAGCACGTTCCTGTCCCACTACTTATGAAAGTCTCTCCCACCACTTCTGATCCTAAAGTTATTTGAAACTTGCTAACTTATTTTCCTCTCTTTAGCCAAACTGTACTAGAGTAGATCATCCTTAAAGATGTCAAAATCTGGAATCAGAAATAAATCAGTAATAAGTTGGTTTGCCTGTACTTCCTCTGAAATTAATGATAATTATTTAACTTTAAAATTAAATAATGAGGCTTAATAAGAATTTCTGTTTGGGTCATTTTTTTGTCTAAATTTGAATGAATTATTTTTCCCGCTGGTTGTTGTACCAACTCCTAAATACACACATTACCAAGAAAAAACCCTCTGAGAATTGCTAAAACGTCTGAGTCAGGTACTGTCAGGGGAGAATTCAACTCAAAATAGAAATCCTCAGAAGGGCACTAGCAAAACAAGAAATCATTGCCTGAGAACCTCTACAATACACCCTTGAGTTGGGCCCCAGTCTCTGCTTGAGCATTTTCATTGACAAGGATCTCATTGACCCCTCATGTGCTCTGTTCCTATTTTATGATGACTCAACTCTACCAATGAGGAAGTCCTTCCTTAAACTCAGATAAAAACGTGTCACTCCATAGCTTTCACAAGACTTTCCTGTCCTCATGCTGTCCCTCTGCAAAACAAGTCTTGTACTGCTTCCAAGAGCCAGTTCTTCATACAAAAAAAGAAGGAATCTTATAGCTGCTGCTTAGTTTCTGACTCAGTCTTCACTTCTTCCATTGGAAAATCCCCAAAGCCTCTTATTATTCCGGATATGCATAGTGATTATTTAATTTGTCACTTTTGAAAATGAAAAGAGTAAAATGATAAGTCACTAAGACAACAGGCATCAACGAGGACTGCTAGGAAATTTAGTCAACTTATTTATATGCAGTGTTGTGCTGGCAAAATTTAATAATGGCTTCTCTAAGGAAAAAATGACTGACGGGTAGAGTATGCCAATTTCAGTGGTGTAAATACTCCAACCATGGCCGATTTCAAGTTACTGATCTGGTGTCTCAGAATGTAGAGTTGATAAGAGGTGTGCACATTGGCTCTTGTGGGCTGCTATGAGCCTGCTCCAGCACAGCACTGTATGATAAGCTGTGTTTTAGAATTTGTTCAATGTCCTGGCTGTCCTCTGAATGTCTCTTTCCACATGTGATATGTTTTAATCGATAATTGCTGAGGTGTTGTTTGGCCAGCCCAGGATCAGTTCAGATTCCACTCGAAATTCCACTTCAAGGGTCCAATTCCATCAAAATTCAACTTCAAAGGATCTATGAATGGAGAGGTATGCAGTCACAGAGGAAGCCTTCAACTTCTAATATTTGGGTCAGAAAAAGAAAATTTCCCTAGAGCGTCTGTACTGGAAATAAAATGGGCAAAGTTGATACATTAGGGTACATTTTCATTAAATTATTTATACCGCTAAGCAACGATTATATACCACTAGGCCTTGATTAAGTCGTCATCGTTTTTCTTAATGGAACAGAAAAGAAACTGGGTTTAAAACTGCTGGCTTGTTAAGAGAGAGACTGCAAAAAATTATTTAAAGTTTTAAACGTTTCCATATAATTCAGGAAGCATTTATTAAGTCCTGATCATGCATTGAGGAAACCCTATAAATATTCAACGTAAAACTCTACTAATGAATAAACTTGTTTTCACGATTAGCCTTTTTCACTCTTGGGTAGGTTTCTACTTTCTTAAAAGCCATGGATATGTTTGTTTTTGTTCTTCGGTGAATCCATTCTGCATAGTCACTTGTGAGTCACATTTCCCCAAGGGTGTAATTTACATCCTTACTCTTTTCATACTGAATGCAACTGGTGGCGACAAACTGTGTTAGCACTGCATAAGAGTTAGCAGGACAAATAAAAATGTTGATTTGGCCTGATCATGGCATCTACAATGGGGAAAAGTAGGAGATAGAGCTGGAGCGTCAGCAGCATCTGGTAAATCAGATTAAAGAATTTTGATTATTCTAAAGCAGATTAAACGGCTTTGATCAAGGGAGTAAAACAATCTGATTAACATTTAAGAGAATGAATTCTGGCAGTGATGGTGAGAATGGATTGGCCAGACAACAGATAGGGAGGGCAGTAAGGGAGATATCGCATAACCTAGGGGAATAAAGCAAAGGGAACAGATTCAAGAGATATTTGGGAGTCGGAATCCACAACAATCAGAAACCCATCAGGGAGGGAGGAGAGAAAGGAGAAGAGGAGTTGTGTAGTGAAGGGATGGGGAAGAGTCAAGGATGATTCCGCGGAAAGGATACACCTGCACAGCTTCAATCAAGTCTACGGGTTGGGTGGCAAGGAGTTTGTGACTTTATCTCCTGGTGGTAGAGGAGACAGGACTAGAGATTTAAAGAGAATGGAAAACATTTGAAATAGTCACTGCAGGGAAATTGAAAAATATGTTATGTGGAGCTGCATTAAGGGCCTGTTCTTGGTAACATTTCCTCAAGAATCTAATTGAATACGTATATTTTGAAAGAGTGTTCCAGATACTCTGCATAGGTCTTTCCACTTCCCTGTAATGACCCGTTCCTCTAATTTCTAATGAAACCCACCAAACGAAACAAACACTTTTTGATTTAAGAATTTTAACAACGTAACTCATTCCATTCTTGGTTTCCAGATTGACCACTAAATGGACTTTATGACAAAAATAGTGAAAATCCCACAAATACTTGTTCCAAAAACATTTGTGGGAACTCACCCCCCTTTTCCCCCCAAACAAATCCCTGACATCAGCGAGGGGACAGGAGTGCAGAGGCAGGGCAGTTGACGCTGTCCTTGCATGGAACTCCGGAATTTAGGGAAGGAACAAACCCAGTGAGGTCATGTCTAGTTTGGGATTAAATGGCTAACTCTGATTCCGTGATCCTATTAAGAAAAATGCACATAAAATGCCCAAGAATTTTTCCTTTGTTTGATTCAGAAATTAAACTTGCACACGTCATGTCTGCAAAACAAGCATTTCACCATGTCAGATGCTCTCTTTGATGGAAATAGGATGTAAAAGAGAAGAGAGAACATGCTACCTTCCTCAGCTGGCTGTGTCATGTTCCTTACCGCACCTCTGGAGTTACATATTTTAAATGTAGATTTGTCTGCACTCTAAAAAGTAAACTTTATATCCAAAAACTTTAACCAAGTCTCTAGCTATAACCTGCTCAACCAGTGGAGGCTATTGAGAGTGCTAAGATCGAAACATATTCCTGACTGTCTAATACCAAATCACCCCAGTTCTGAGAGACCTGGTTTTCAGCATAGCAGAAGGTGGACATCACCCACATTATGAAGACAATTGCCTTCATTCTCCATATGATATAATACATATATTTTCTTATAATAGTGCTTCCCTGGCACCTAATACCTAATCTGAAAAACTAGCATGTTCATCAGGGAAATGCAAATCAAAACTACACTAAGATACCGCTTTACATTTGTTAAAATGGTTATAATCACTAAGACTAAAAAAAGCAAATGTTGGAGAGGGTGTGGAGAAAAGGGAGCCCTCATACACTGCTGGTGGGAAGGCAAACTGGTTCAGCTACTATGGAAAACAGTATGGAGGTTCCTCAAAAAACTAAAATTAGAACTACCATATGACTCAGCTATCCCACTACTGGGCATCTACACAAACAACTTGAAATCAACAATCCAAAGTAATATATGTACCCCTATGTTCATTGCAGCACTATTCACAATAGCCAAGACACGGAAACAATCCAAGTACCCATCGACCGATGATTGGATAAAGACGATGTGGTATACATATACAATGGAATACTACCCAGCCAGAAAAAAGACAAAATCATCCCATTTGCAACTACTTGGATGGACCTGGAGGGAATTATGCTAAGCAAAATAAGCCAGACTAGAAAGACAGACACCATAAGATTTCACTCATATGTGGAATATAAACAAATACATGGACAAAGAAAACAGTTCAGTGGTCACCAGGGGAAGGGGGGTGGGGATGGACACAGGGGGTGAAGGGAAGCACTTATGTGGTGACAGACAAGAAATAATGTACAACTGACATTTCACAATAATGTAAACTATTATGAATTTAATTAAAAAAAATTCTAGCATGTTACCAGCAATTTCCAAATCTTTGCTCCAAATGTTCTGTTGTCACATCAGATACAAAAAAATATTGTTCATT